GATCAATAGATAGATTAATCTTTATTTGGATTGACATATACAAGAGGAAATCACATTAGTAAAATTCGGGTTAACATATACCAAAATACACTATATTTATATTATAGATTCTCAAATATGTTTTTTGAAACAGGATTTCTAAAAGAAATACCGACCAAAACTTTATCCTTTTGTGCACATAAACTATATTATTTTTCGAATGATAAAAATATATTAACAAAAATGACAAAATTTAAAATATTATCCATAAAAATATATTTCGTGTTAAATTTGTTTTTGTAAACAAATGGCTTCCATAAAATTTTAATTGTCATCGTACAATGAGTGAGATGACAAACGGGCAACAAGCTGTGCCGTTAAGCCTTTTTTGAATGGTAAAGCTAATTATTTTAAAGACTACATCCGAAGATCTAGGGGATATAACATTACTATGCATGATTCGTTGTACTCTTTGAAAAAACACTACCGCATCCGGTGCGAGAAAACCAAACGTATCGAATGGAAATGGTATTAACACGCATTGTTTCGAGAGAATCAAACAGAGGGTAGGCCAGTGCCACCCGCTTTCGTCTTTACCTTTAAACCCTTCTTCCCCAAATCCACAACCACCATTTCCATGTAAGACAACCATGGATTCCTCTTCTTTTACATCTGCGAGAGTACCCTTTTCGCTCCTCTCTTCTCTCATGGTGAACCACCCACCTTCTTCTCTATAAATACCCTCATCTCCCACTCACTCACTCACTCACTCGATCGCCCCTGTTAAACCCCTCCTCCTTTCACCTTTCTTCAAATGGCTACCAATTCAGGTAAGTTTCATCAGTTAGGGTCATGGTTTTTTATGATTGTATAGTAATTCATGATCGGTTGTTTGATATGCTTGCTGATTGATAAATCGCAGTTGAGATCGAGAGTGCTGAAGATTCTAAAGTTCATGTTTTCTCATCATCGACAGAGGTATATTCCGTAAAACCCAACCCCACCTCTCTGTTTTCGGATCCCGAATTCCCAATCATCTCAAAATTTCACAAAAAGTTTATCAATAACACTAGAAAACAGTCAAACACGCGTTTCTTATGCCAATTCTGCATCTAGAAAAGCACCATCATTGAAGTTGAATTTTGTTTCGAAACGATATCTCACATTAATCTTTTGATGATCAGTTGCTTGAAAAGTTGCATCAGAAATGGAATTCAGTCGAGAAGCCACCATATCCTGCAATGTATTCAAGTATTTATGGCGGGATTATTCTCGATCCAGCGATGATGGTCATCCCAATTGACGATCATATGGTACATCGAGGACATGGTGTTTTTGACACTGCCATTATTCTCGATGGGTAAGTCCTTGATTTCATCAAAATCTTACACAATTCTGATCGATTCTAAAGTTAAATTCCAATCCATTTCACAGATACCTCTACGAACTGGATGCTCATATAGATCGAATCCTTGTATCAGCATCAAGAGCCAAGATTTCATCACCATTCCCAAAATCAACCCTTCGCACCATTCTCATCCAACTAACATCAGCATCAAACTGCAAGAAAGGAACTTTACGATACTGGTTAAGTGCAGGTCCAGGCGATTTCCTACTTTCTCCTTCAGGTTGCCCAACATCTGCATTCTATGCAGTTGTAATAGACGAAGAGTTTTCTCAATGTAAACAAGGCGTTAAAGTCATCACTTCCACAATCCCGATGAAAGTACCCTTATTTGCCACAAGCAAAAACGTGAATTACCTCCCGAATGTTCTCTCGAAACTTGAAGCAGAAGAGAAAGGGGCATTTGCGTCAATTTGGGTAGATGATGAAGGGTATGTTGCAGAGGGACCTAATGTGAATGTGGCTTTTGTAACACATGATAATGAGCTTATTTTGCCTTTCTTTGAGAAGATTTTAAGTGGGTGTACTGCGAAAAGGCTTCTTGAATTGGCTCCTAAGTTGGTTGAAAATGGGAGATTGAAGAGTGTGAAAACAGGGAATATAACTGTTGAAGAAGCTAAAGGAGCTGCTGAGATGATGTATGTTGGAAGTACATTGCCTGTGTTGCCGATTATTGAGTGGGATGAAACTCCTATTGGAAATGGTAACTTTTTAACTATTTTAAATAATAAAAAACTTTTTTTTTTAATCTCCGATTTTGAAAAAGAATTGTTTAATGATGTTGGTTTTTACATTTTATGGTGTTTATAGGGAAGGTTGGGGAATTGACAATGGCTTTATCGGATTTGGTTTGGGAGGATATGGTGGCGGGTCCTGAGACACATAGGTTAAAAGTTCCTTATGTGTAAAAAAAGTGTCAAAGAATTGGATGTTGTATCCTTTGTTTTCTAGAGTGTGGAATGGAAACCACGAATTTAATAAAAGTTTGGGTTTGTGAACACTAATTCAACAAAACCAAAAACCACAAATTCACTATATTAAAGTTTTGTCATAAACCTTAGTTATGAGTCATACCGATAGTGTTGTAAACGAACTAACACATATAAAAGCTTGTTCATGTTCATATGTTCAAATTAACTGAATAAACGACCGAACATGAACAGATAAATGAACGAATTTGCTTGTTTGTGTTCGTTCGTTTCACAAATTACCTTGTTTGTGTTAATTTGTTTATGCCTGTTAAGATAGTGAACGGACATAAATGATCATAAACGAATGAACATGAACAAATATCATTGAACATAAACAAAGAATGCAAACGTCCAAATGAAGAAGCTTAATTAGTCATGATATGTTGAACATAAACATCCAAATCAAGAATTTTAAACGGTTATGAAATGTTGATCATATATACATACTTTTGATATTTTTGATATGTTGATCAAGAACTTTAAACTTTAAATGGTTAGGATATGTTACTTTTGATATTTTTGCTAAATCAAAAAGTTAGTAAAAATTAAATCATTGTATAAGCTCCACTTTCACTCTCACTCTCATTGGATGTATAGTTTTCTGTATAATGTAATATAATAATCGAATTTAAACAAAACAAATTAATGTAATATAATAAACGAACGTTTACCAATATAAACAAATTAATGTGACAATTGTTCATGTCAGTTCATTTAATTAAACGAAAAAAAAAATTGTTAATGTTTGTTTATTTATTAAATAAATACATATAAAAGAACTCTTCGTCAAATGGTTCACGAACAATTCGTTGAATGTTTAGTTCGTTTACAAACTTACCTATCAAACTTGAAAAAGCTATGTAAATAAATAAAATATTACTATAATTATTAAAAGGCTCAATGTTTATAGCTTGTAATTTACAAGCAAGTTGAAAAAAAAAAAAAAAAAAAAAAAAAAAAAAAAAAAAAACTATAGCCAAATTACATAAAAGGTCATTAATTTTAAGCTATTTTTTGTGGTTAAACCATTGCGTTCGGATTTCATTAATGAAAGTCATCCAAATTTTACGATTTTTTCAACATCGACTACATTAACCTTCTATAACATGCTAAATTGGTCATAATGTGAGATTTTGTCAAAATTTAGTAGTTTTAGTAAAAATTTTGACTAACGTCATTAAACTTTGATAAAAAAATTTCTATCATCACCATTTAACTTGTTAGGGCCAAAGGTGACGATGGGTATCATGTTGACATTTTTTTTATTAAACGGGTTCAATTCAATTTAGCATGTTTAAGGAAATGTTTGAAAATTCTCAATCCAACCCAATATTTTAATAATTACGTTGGCCCATATATTTCCCCCAATCCCAACCAGTTTAATAAACAGGTTCATCCATTAAAATTTTTATAAATAAATAAAAAAGTTTTCCACCAAATTAAATATGTTACATAGTCTATTCATTATTCAAATAAAATTAAAAAAAAAAGTGAATTGTTGAAGTTTAATAAAAAATCCAACCACAAACACAAATTAAGTGTTCAAATAACATTACAAATGTTTCATATTTAATAAATATAAAAGAAACATAAACATAACATAATTTTTAAACGGAGTTGAGAGATTGAAATTAGGTTGGAAATTTCAACCTAACCCAACATTTTAATGAAATGGATTAAAATGGGTTGATCAACTTAATTAAATAGGTTGAAAACCTCAAACCCGTTCGTTAAGTATTGGGTTGTACAACTTTAATTGACGAAACTATATTATTTAGACCACAAAAATTGTTAAAATATACTTGTTAAACAACAAAAATGGCCAAAATATACTGTATTTTATTTGAAACTCTTCTGAATTGTGATTAAATGCTTTTGTGATTGTGGATGATTTATTATTCTTTGGAGTTTGGTGTGCACCTTATGTTCTACAATAGTCCATGAATTTGTTCAGATTCTGATCTTGTTAAGATTAATGAAGTTTTAACGCTCTTTTGCATTTGAAATGCAATTGATATGATATTATACGTATATTTTGTTTTTCCTGTTAAAAAGTAAATAGTAAGCCAAGAATGAAAAAATGAATAAAAATAAATACATTGCCCCCATGCAGGATCGAACTACACACCTCCAGTTTACAAGACTGGCGCTCTGCCACTGAGCTATAGGGGCGATTTTGTTCAATTTCTCATGTTTAAATATATATCGAGGGGTCCACAACATTATTATATCGTCTAATATAGTTATCAAAGAATTTTGTGCCGATTAAAATTTTATGTAGCTATGTGATTCTTAGGCAATAATTGAAGCTTAATAACTTCATCCTTTTAAAATTAATTATGTTTAATTTCTAAACACTGAATATTAGTCACATTATGGTACATTCACTATTCACCTCATGGTAAATATGGACATTTTTAACCCTTTGGCTGCTTTAGGAAATATAATTTCTATCTACTCTTTATTCAAAGCCTCAGAATTTGACAATATATAGTCAAGTCATAATTACTGTGGTTGCTTGTTTGGTGTTCTATGTCATAATTTCATTGCCAAATCCTTTTTATACATCCATTATACTTAGGAACATTATTCATCTTAAAAGATACAGAAATATTTATCAACCAAATTATCTAACAAATAGGATAGGACCCAAGTGAAACTCATCTTCATTGCCTACATGAAACCTTGAGACTCTAGCGGGATTGTTTCTTCTCTCTTTGACCTTCCACCATAGTCAAAAGCTACCGATATTATTATTCCTCAAAAAGTTGCCACCATTATGGTTGGATTGATACCGAATCATTTCATCTTTATTAGTATCCAAAAAATGCCAAAGAACAACTAAAACTACCGATGAAACAAGCATTGGAATTGGACCAAATATCCATAAAACCAAAGTCCCTGCAATGTAGAGCACACGCAATCCAACAAGCCAGAAGATACTTCCTCGTATCAATGCCTTTTGGATATATTTCATAGGAACTTCACCTTTAGGCATGCTAATGAGGAAACTAGCATGCACAAAATGTCTTGTAGTTTGTACAAAACATGCAAATGCTAACAAGAAGAAAGTTATCATGGAGATGTACTTTATTGACCTAGTGGTGTGACTTTTGTCCCCATAGATAAAATGGCTTGTGAAGAAGTTTGTGGAAGAACCTCCAAGTAGAGCTCCGATAAGCGAGCATAAAACTAGAGAAATTGAAGCCAAAGAGATTGCTCCGTTTAAGTTACTACTAAGGACCGATATAGCAAACCCTCTATCTCTAGTTTCAATCTGCATGCATCAAGATAATTACTCCATTAATTAATTAACCATGGTTAGGTTAGATGTAGCTGAGGAAAAGAAAGATGGGTTCCTAATTATCAAGTATATGTACCTGAAGCATTTTCTCAACCCATGCACTTTTATTATGGTTTTCAAACCCGATTGTTGTGGTTTCGGGAATGATATGGTATTTGTAGAGAAGGATTAGATGATAGATACACATGATTAGTAACCCTAATGGCACCACGAATAAGTCTAAGTGTGATTCCTTCCATGTCCACCCCATATTCTTTTTTCGTGCTTCACTTGTTCTTTGTGTTTCTTTGAAAGTATATATGAGGTGAAACTGTGAAAGAGACGAATTTAACATAGAATTTGGTAAATGAAAGGTGGGTCTTTTGACATTTTCAATGAAATTTCGTGGGAAAGTGCTTTTTCTTTGTGCAAAATGTTTCCACTTTGAATTTTTTGACAACTTGCATATGTTTATTCTAAAGATCTATTAGAAAATTATACCTGTCACCTAATTATGTTGGAAAACTATATAAAGATGACATATAAAGTTTACTTCTAAATTTAATAGACAATTCCATGATGGAAGCAGTAACCAATAATTTATTGTATATATGATATTATCTATCCCACGTTATATTCCAGTCTTTGGTCTAAATTCTTTGTTTCTCCCTGTCTCCAGGAGATCGATGTATTATTGCTACTTTAGGTTAGGTTGGGTTTTCTAAGATAGCCGCCTCAATAACAGTTGATCTTTTTATTTTGGTGTAGAATTGATTGATGAAACGTATGCAAATTTAATTTTAATTATGGTAAATAACAGTCATGATGTATGGCCTTAATTTCATAGTCTAGAAAATGTGAAGTGGTTTTGCTATCTATTTGTCGTATAGTTAGAGTGGTTAAAAATTTTCATTTCCTAGTTATTCACTTTTCCTTTTCCATGTAAATCTATTGAAACATGACACGAATACCTCACTTTTCCTATAATCCGACGTTGGTCTTTTTATAAAAGAACGGTGTTCAATTGAAAATTGTAATATAATCTATAAATAAAATTTCAAAACAAAGGGTGTCCATCGACACCTATGAGATAGTGTAGGTATGCCCTTAACTAGTTGTGTTTAACCTGCTACTGTCCCTTTCATTGTCAAGCCTCCCAACGATTACGTTTCGGTGATCATATGACAACGACTAGACTAAAAACGCCTAGCTTGGACATAAACAACTTCATTTTGATCTCAATGGCAAGCTAACGGATGGCATGGTATTGGTCTAACATGGTAACATGGTCATGCCTGTGACATATGGCTATCTTTGTTACATGCGATAGAACAGACTCAACAAACTTTCTACAATTATCTTTAATGATGAGGATGAGAAGAGCATTTATGTGTTTTTGTGAAAGATGGATAATGAGTTATTGTCCCACTTTTTTTGGTTGTGGCAAAAAAAAATTGCAATCTCTACCATATTAACATCACTTTCGTCCTAGAATAATAAATGTCCAACTTAATACAAAGTTCTCCATTCTTAGGGGTGTGAAAAAAAAAACCAAAATCGAATAACCAAACCTAACCCAACGATGTTTTAATTATTTGGTTTTCATGTGATTTGATTCGTTTAACCGAATAATGATGACATTATCAGATTTACTTTTGGTTAAATCTTCTATATTTTGGTTAAACCGAATAAGCAATTTAATATATGTTTTATTTTTATTTTTTATAAATTAACATTTTTTTCATAGATTAATTAGCAAGTTCTTCATTTAACTTATTACTTGGTAATTTATAATTAAAAGTAATTCATATTTGTGTTGTATATATTATTAATATTACACAAACTTAAACAAATAAGGGAAAAATTAATATTTTGTCCAAATGAAATCTTATTCGGTTTAACCATTAAATCGATCCGAATAAACCAAAACCAGATAGACCAAAACCGATTTAACCGGACTTTATTTGGTTTAGTTACGGTTAATTTTTTTTGTTATAACATTCTTTCGAGGTGTAAAAAAAAATTCATTTACACCGAAAACCGATTTAACTAATTGAGTAATACCCTAGCTGTTCTGTCATGTTGTACATAACAAATTGGGCCTATTTCATGCATCTAATGCAAAGGATGGTTCTCCTGGTTGATAAGAGTATCTTAGTTCTATTTAGAGAATTCAGGTAAACATTTGCCACCCATTGATTCTTTTGCATGATTTCACATTTGATGGGGTGTTAAAAGGAGGGATGAGGTGTTCCTTTGAGTAATCCTTTGCTTGTCTATCTTGAACATGACCTCATTTCTGTTAGAACCAATCTACCACCAAAATCTTACTTTAATTCCACAACCAATTCTACCCTTTTTGCTTTTACTATGTGTGTGCGTGTGTGGTGGGGTTGGGCTACTTTTTATGTATTTCATGCTCCTTTTCACTTTTGCTACGTGGGATATATAAATCTATGATGCCTTTGTTCAAACTTTAGACGCTTTTAAAAGCATTTTCACTCCATGCCAAGCTATAGTTGTTTTATGAAAACATATTATAGACCTTGAAGCATTTACATTAATTTAATGGTTATTGTGTATCTTCCCTTTGATTGCATTCTTCATTCTTGTTCATCTCTAACCATGAGACTCCCCTTGTGCATGCTCATTTTACCACTAGAATGCATCACATAGTCATACACACACAAAGCACAAGATAAAGCAAGTTTGAGCCTTTTGTGTTGGTTGTTTCAAAGATTTATGGAACTTAACAAAATACACCATGCCAAGCAATTCTTTAATCCTTAAAAGTAATTGTGCTTAGTGGTCCACAACATGATTAGAAAAAGACAATTTGACTAGAAATAAGCATCAAGACCGAATCTTTGCCAACAAAATTAGCCTAATCAATAAGTTTAAACACACATCATCCCAATTTGATATAGTGATCATCACATGATGCAAGATTGAAACAAAAACTATCTTCCATATTTTATATCAGAAGTATCAACTTTGTAGTTCATATATCCGACCACTCTATAAAATACAATAAGAAACTTAAACATGTTTATATATATTCAACACTAGAAAGTAGAAACAATATTACATGCAGCATAAACCGCTTGTAAACATGCATCGAGTGATTGTACAATGAAAAACACAAAATCAAGTATGTCCAAGAATCTATCTCAATTGACAGTAATACGAATCTAATTATCTAACAACACTCCATCAAACTCTTTTTTTATTTTTATTTTTTTATATATTTTTAAGCTCAAAATCCAAAACCAGCCACGTCAATGCCAAATGAAGCTCGGCGTGGTGGCTCGAGCTTGTTTTTCCAGAAACAAGATTCTGGTGCCAGCTTCATTGGCTCGGACTTGCATCTTGTAAGAATCAATGGCTCGAACCCATTTGTGTTGACTAACTTCTGGTCAAACTTTGTCGCCATTGATGAACATGAATATCGAGCTGGTTGCTGTAAAACTGGCTGACATTTTGATTCATCTTCACCGGCGATTGATTTGATTGGCGGCGGCACTGGCGGCGGTTTTCTACCGGAGTGTCGCCGAATGAAGTCTGTACTGCACACCCATGTCTCCTTTGATACCTCCATTGATAGCTTCGGCTCATACATCATTAGCAACAAACATTCGGGCAAACTTTTGCTCTTGTTGTTTATCTCTTCGTTTTCTTCTTCAAATTCTGAATTTGACTCACATGCTTCGGTTTCTTCAATATCTTCATCTTCGGATAATTGTTCTTGAGCATCCTCCATTTCAGAATGTACTTCTTCTTCTTCTTCTTCTTCTTCTTCTTCTTCTTCTGTTTCTTCAGGTTCTTGATTTTGATCTGTATTTTCTTCAAATAAAGACCAAAGATACATACTTTCTTCTTCTTCTTCGTTAGTTTCTATGCTCTGTTCTTGATTATCTTCTTCTTCTTCTTCTTCAATACTCTGTTTTGTTTCCATTTCTGGATTTGTTTCCACTTCTTCTTCTTGAACTTTCTTTTCCATTTCCAGTTCTAATTTCTTTTCCGTTTTTTCTTGATCGATTGCTTTCTCTTGTAAATCATCATGTTCTTGATTACCAACTTCAATTAAACCCATGTGTGTTTCTTCTTCCTCCGGCTGAAGATTTTCAGGAATTACGCTCTCTTCAATTTTCTCTTCATTCTTAAAAGATTCTTCATCTTCATCTTCTTCTTCCTCTTCGTTTTTCTCCATATTTGGTTCCCAGAATCGATTCGTGAGAGCCTCCATCTTCATAGGATCAGATCTACATCTCATCAATAACAAAGCATTTTTAGGTGGTACACAAGTACTCACCCTAGCTTCATCGATTGTCCCCAAGACGCTGTTGTTTACAATCTCCAAGTCTTGGAACACATGTCTTCTTGAATTCTTAATACCAATCTCATCAATTTCCTCATTCTCGTCATCATCGTATCCGGCGACTAACTCAACCTCTCTCTCGCCACCACCACCACCACCGGTATCTCTTCCACCTCCATCTCCTTCCTGCAATGCCACCAACCACCGTGCGAACCCCGCACCACAAGACCCCTGTCTGTTTTCCCCAACCATCTTTTCCTCTTTCTCCATCGCCGTCGTTGAAGAACACGAAGACCGGCAAGGAAACAAACAGCTAACCTCAGACCCAAAAGCTCTTAAACCTTCACAAATCGTCAATGGTAAATGAACCCATCTCTGATTATTCCTCTGCAATGGTAAACACTCTTGATTAGAACCAAGATTTTGACTTTGACTACCAAACCCATTACCGGAATGCTCCAATCTCCTGAAACTAACTTCGCCGGCGCTCCGTCGTCTCGATAAACTCCTCAGATTTTTTGCGTGCTTCTTCTTGCTCTTCACCCTAACCTGACCAATGCAGGTAACTTTAGGGGAAGACGGTTCTGGGTTTTCGAAACCGCTTCCTCTTTTTTTACCGGTGGCTGGGAACATTGCGGGAGACGCGCCGCCTTTGATGCTACGACTGTTTCTGAGCCTACGGCTGTGGGAGTTTGAGAGGGAAAGCGGCGGTGGGTCACGAGCAGCCCCAGCCCTGGCTGGACTGAGGATTGATCTGGATGAGATCTTCATAGAGGATGAAGATGTGTGAAGCAGACGAAGTGTTGGATAGATTTAACAACGATGGTGGTGGTGGTCTACCGGAGTCCATTGACTGTCATTGTGATAGATAGGTGTTGCGGCTTTCTTTAGGTGGGTTGCAGAGCAGAGAGAAGAGAACGATGAATAAATGTAGACACGAGACGTAGTTGGTTTCCGTGGGCCTATATCATCTGTGGGTGTGATGCGGTACCACACTACCACTCTAGTTGCTTCCTCTTATCCAAAAATTAAGGGTGTTTGGGATTGTTTATAAAACTGATTTGTTAGATTATTTATGGAGTATTTTAAGAAAATTTTTAATAAAGTCTGAAATTATTTTTTTAAATAGAAAAGTCAGACTATTTAACTTTTTAAATATAATAACCCAAAAAACGACTAAATTATTCACTTTAGTTTTTTTTACCTGTTTAGCAGGTCATGAGACTAAATCGTTAATTTTTTAAAAATAATAGGATTTTTTTGCAGATTTCTTTAAAAATTTTATATAATGTATACGTATTTTTTTACATATTTATATCTATTTTTACGTATTTATATATTTTTTAAAAGTTTTATATGTATTTTAAATGTGTAGACATATTTTTTACATATCCATATGTATTTTTAAGTATTTTATATTTTTTATGTAGCTTTATATGTTTTTTTTTGTATTACGTATTTATATGTATTTTTATATATTCGTATATTTATAAGCCTTTTATATAGATGTTTATGTATTTTAAATATATAAACGTATTTTAATGTAATTATATGTATAAGCATTTTTACATATTTTTTATATATTTTTATGTGTTTTTTTATACATTACGTATTTATATATTTTTTATTAAAGTTTTTTATATACATGTTGTAACATTTGAGTTTTGGTATGTTTCCTTCTTAGCCCCTTAATGCAAAATTGTTAACATTTTGGTCCCTAACTAGTACGTTGGGCGTACTCTATGAGTATGCTTGGTGTACTAGCTCACTTCCGGATCGAGCATGCACCCACGTACACTGGGCGTACGTGAGAGTAGGCACGACGTACGCAAGGTAGGGACAAACCCTAATTTTTTAGGGTTTATGCCTTATTAAAACAACTTAAACCACCTTTGGACATTATATTGATCAGCTTCCATCACCCTATACCCTAAAAACGAAACCCTAAGTGCCTCGTGTGAGTTTTGAGCTTGAAAGTGAGATTTGGTCGTGTTTTGGTGAAAGAATAAGAAAAAGAACTCTTGGTGGTTGCTTGGAAGTAGCTTGGGCTTGTAGATCCATATTCATCATCATCTTTGCAAGCCATGTGAGGTATAAAGTTCTCTACTTGATGGTTAATTATGCCAGATTTAATTTTGGGACCTTGCTTATGCATTTTTGGGTCTTTTAAGCTAAAGTTGAGCTTTTGATCTACTCCAGAAGACATGGATGTTAGATCTTAGCTCCATGGAGGTCCCTTGTTCATAAAAATGCAAACTTTATGAAAGATATTGGTCCATGAAAGTGTTAAGAGCCTTATTAAGCTTCTTTTTTAGTGTTAGGTCCCATTAAGTCATGCATGGGTGTAAACGAGCCAAATTTATGTATTAAGTCACCCTTTAGAATCAGATCTAAGAGTCTCGCTAAAGGTCTTAACCGAATAAGTGCTTAATGGAGTGGGTTGGTAATCTGGGGAGTACGTTGGCCGTACCCAGCTGGTACGCTGCGCGTACTGGCCCCGGAAGGAGTAACCTAAGCGTACGAGTTGAGCATGCCCCGCGTACTCACCAAATGGACTCTTGGGCTTGACGTTCACAGATTTGGGCCATGCTTTGGACTTTTAGGGTTTAGGCCTTGTTGGGTCATTAGACTTCTGATTTTGGCTTTTGCTAGTATATTGGGCTTTCTTGGAATTAAGCCCATGATGGGTTTTGGGCCCAATTTGTAAGATTAGGCCATATTGGGCATGGGATGCCATTTAGAAGTTTGGGCCTTTCAAGCAATTGGATTGGGCCTTGGTGTTGGGCCAAGTAAGAAAAAGGGTAAAATGGTCTTTTACCCTGGATATTGGGCAAGTAGCTTAGATGCTTGATTATGGATCGAGATCCAATTATTAATTGGATATTATTTGATGATGTTAGCACGGGGATTTTCCAGACCAGCTGACTAAGATCATATCAGTGTGATTCTGCTGCTTGAGGTGAGTTTCCTCACAATGTTTAGCGGGTCGAAGGAACCAATGTCAGCCCATGGTTTGATATGTTAGGATGCTAGTTGTCTGCGTGATTCTTACATGTGATATGTGTTTATATGTTTACCGGGGCGGAGCCCGATGCTGGGTGGGGCCCGATGACTATCTTGTATGTTATTTATCTTTGTGATTATTACATATGTTTGTATGATGGTATTTTTATGTGTTAATATGTATACCGGGCGGGGCTCGATGTCAGGCGGGGCCTGATGACTGACATATATGTTTACCGAGCGAGGCTCGATGTTGGGCGCGGCCCGATGACGTGCAGGTGTGACATCCCCATTTTCATGACCAGAAAAGACCGATTTTGTTTATGCTTTATAAAAATCAGAGTACCTCTTTTAATAAAAATGTTGCAGAATTTGTTCCCAGAAAAACATGATAAATACGTTATCAAAGCATTTCCGAAGAAATGTATTTTATTCCTTTTAAAGCTTTGGGATGTCATCGTCAATACAGAAACATAAGCATAAACAGAACTTACATTCATTTACACTAGTGATCTACATCTCTTTAAATCTCTCAGTGTAAAGTAGCTTCGTATCGACACCTGTGATACAAATAAGCTTGAGTGGGTCAGGTTGGGAAACCTGGTGAGTACATAGGGTTTTCAACCCACAATAATATAATTATTATGTTTAAACATCAAACAATCAACTCAATTACCCATCCCCATTATCTTCTTTACTCTTAAGGATCTACCATAAGAATCAACTATTCCACGTTCATTCATTCCTAAGGACCATCATAAGGAATAGGCACGAAGTCCATCGTCACCAGGGTTTATACAACAGACATTAAGTCCATAGCCGCCAGGGTTCATCTTATTTATCGACAATATCGTTTTCGGGAGTCCACCCGCAATGCATGTCAATGGTTTTTTAGAGTACACCGAGTGAACATATCGTTCACAACACCTACAGGTTGTGAGCCTGCTAGTGTTCCACTGGACTGTCTAGAATAGTCCGTGGTTTTCATCTATACTCTGCTAGATGACGGGGCCATCGTTTGGGTCATCGATTGGCTCATCGCTTCTTACTATTTCATATCATCGCTCATCATTCATCTCATCTTTCATCGCTCATCATTTATCTCATCTCTAATCTACCCATCTTTTACCCAACATATTTTGTAGATATAAAATACATATACAGTTTAATTCATTTAAAACATGTATAAATCGTTCATCCAACATAGACAGCAAGTATTCTGATAATATGCACACAACACGTAATTTATATAAAATACTTCATATCTATGTGTAAGATGAAGGTAACTATGCACTCACCTGATAAGGTGGTGATCCTGTACTCGGACAACGCTTCGTTTACTTAAAACAAGTTCCTTTGACAAAACCTAGTATCATTACCACTAGAGTTTAGTCTAATATTCACCGAGACCAATTGATAGTCTTAGCATTATTACTATTATATAAGCGTTAAAACAATATTTTTCACCCACTATGTACAGACAGGGGCCAGACATGAAACACCGGAAGGTAGGACCATTTTTGCATTTAAGCCGTTCTGAAATCCAACAACCCAAGCGGCCCTCCAAACCAGATTCCCAGTACCGCGAGTGGTTAAAAAAGATATTATAACCACACTTATATAACTCATAATAATAGCCCAAATATTTATTATAAGGTCCTAATAACATTATTATATTTAAATAAAAGCTATATTTAAAATTAGGTAGGCGTATCTCACTTACAGCAGGTTTTATTAAAAATCGGGCTCTGCACGGGCCGAGCTTTGTCTCGGAGCCTTCGGGAGCTCCGGGGCTTCCTTCTAGTGCTAGGGAGGTACCCTAGGCTTTGGGGGTTTTGGGGAAGTTAGAAAGAGTGTAGAGAGAGAAAGAGATGGTGAAATGGTGTGAGAAAAGAGGCTGCCTCGCACCTCTATTTATAGTGCGAGACCGAAGCCTACGCAGCGCGTTCTTGCGAGGAGCGCAGGGCGTTCCGGCTGCGCTGGGCGCTCCCTTCCAACGCGAGGCGTTCGTACAAGACAGGTGTCCGAAGCTCCTTGGTGCGACGTGGTCCATCCGAGGCCGAGGGTTTCTACGCAACGCACTCCTTCTTTGTACGCAGGGCGTACCTCGTACGCGAGGCGCGCCTTGGCTACGTTGGGCGTAGCCTTCGGACCCAACTCACATTTTTCCCTATCGACTTCTAAAAATTGTAACTTTCGTATACGAGCTCCTTTTCGACGTTCTTTATATCCACGCATAGGTGGGACCGTACTCTACAACTTTCATTTAGACTCCATCTGCTAATTTTGAATTTATTTTTAAAGTTATATTTTTAACAGGTCGGGACAGGAAAAGTCCGTTAAAAAATCATAACTTCTTCATCTGATGTCCGTTTTCGTTTGTCTTTTTACCGTTACGCTACTATTAATGAGATCTTCGATTCTCGTTTTGGTCGTGTCGGCCAAAAATGGGTCGATCTAACATTCGAACTCCGGGCTGTGTACTGTTGATTCGAAACTTGGAAAAATCATAACTTCCTCATACGAAGTTAGATTTGGGCATTCTTTTTATGCATGCTCTCGGTTTAACGTATTCTATGACTTTCGTTTAGATCGCTAAGGATAAAAAGCAATCTATCGTAAATTCACTATTTACGTCACGAAGTGTCGTGCCGGTTTTGTCGCGAAACTTCGACGAACCATAACTTCTTCATTATAACTCGGATTCCGACGTTCTTTATATGTACGGAACCCTTGTGACATATGCTACAAATTTTATTAATATTATT